AAAAAAAAAAAAAAAAAAAAAAAAAAAAAAAAAAAAAAAAAAACTGTTATAAATTCTACTGATAAAGAATTTTTTGAGTTATAAAATAACTTGCAAATTTGATTTTATAATTTTATTTTTTTTAAATAATTTATGAAAATTAATTCAGCAGATATTTAATCATTTTAAGAATTTTGATGAGAAATAAATTATAGCAAAAAAAAATTATTTATTTTTTTTTTTTATATGAAAATTAATTTAGCAGATATTTGATAATTTTAAGAATTTTTTTAACAAATAAATTAAGGCAACAACAAGTAGAAAAAATATTGACGTGCAGAAATTATAAAAAATTAAATATGCAATTTTTTATAAATAATTTTTCGGAACAAATTTTTTTGTTAAATAAAATTAAAAAATGATTAAGTGCTGCTAACTTTGATGTCATAATTAATTTTACAATTAATTCCACAATTATATTTTTTAATTACATATAATCATTAAAACTGAGAATTTAATTTTTCAAAATATGAACAAGTTTTGAAATCTGTAATATAAAAAAAAATATAATTTAGTTCTGAACTTAAGCAAAAAAATTTTTTTGAATTTTCCCCTTTGTAAACATTTGTAATTTTATTATGTTGTAATAAATTGACTTTATAATTTTCAGTGATTATATTCCTTTAAAATAAAATTATTTCATAGGTATATATGTGTATAAATGCGTCGTATTTTGCTATATTCAGTGTCACGCGGTTAAAAAATTCTTTTATCTCGAAAATTTAGGTGTCTACGACTATGACTAAGTGGTAGGAGACAGAAGGAGACGTCAATATGGGGCCAGAGGGGAAACGTTTCTACGGTCTCTATTGAATGTCAGTGTCTACATTCAACATTTAACGAGGTTAGTTGTTAGTTGTCATGTGAAAAAATCACGCAAATATGTAAGTAAATAAATAATAATTTTACTTTTTTATTGTTTAAAACAAATTCACTAGTAAAGTAGCAAGTGTAAAAATCACTTAAGTATTACTTGCTCTTGTTTTTTTTATCACCTATAATTCATTACTCCAATATTTATTTGCATGTTATTAAAAATATTATGCAATACATTGACATATTTTTAATATTTTTTTTTTATTTATAACATTTATTCAAATATTGAATACCGTTATTTATTTTTTCTAATATTTTTCAGATAAGTCTATCAACGTGAGGTTAAGTTTACTGAATAAATTATATTGGAAGCCAAGCAATCACAATCTGACGTATCAATACTTAAAATGAGTGGAAATATGTCGGCGATAGCGGCAGATTCGTTTCCAAATATTTATCTCCCACGTGTTGTCCTCGACAAAATCGATATTCCTGAGAACAGTATTATAATATCAACAATTATTGAAGACCCTTCATTGTCCGATGGTTCGACAGCGCAATCATCGGTAATTATTACGATAAATAATAATTGATTTTTAGTACGATAACAAGGTCACCGACTTTATGATTTTAATCTTAATAGTTATGATTTATGAGATTGAATTTTTTTTTATGTGACCTTATGATAATCTTTTTACGTAAATTTTAAATTAAAATTTATTTTTCAGGTAATATATTAATCGATTTTTTAATTACAAATATTTTATAATAAATAACTTATCACGCTCTACAAACATAATTATCAGATAAATAGTTTTATTATTTCATTAAAACTGTCATATTGAATATTATATTTTCCCCTAGGATTTTAACGACAATCGTTACAACGAGGTAGATTCAGAGGTCGAAGTAAGTTATAGGATTCACAGCATCGAGTACATTTGTCAAGATTGTTACAAATCATTTAATACAGCGGGTAAATATACTTTATACACAAATTAAAACAAGAAAAAGTTTTATTTTAATGATTAATTATTTTTTAAGAACTCCATAAAAAACATGTCTTGACTTGTCACACTGAAGGAAATCGTCTATTGAATATTCCGATTGAATATTTGCCATTTGTCCGTCTTAATAGAATAGATATACCTGATAAAAAAACAAAAACAGAGATTGACACAGAGTCTCACAAAGAATCAAAGACTCATAAATCTGAAATCAATTCTAAGGGTAAAAATAAATTTAATTTAACAAGTCAGTATTATTAAAATATTTTTCAATATAAGGATTTATTATTACAAGTGACTAATTGATTAATTAATTTTTCAGAAAAAAAAGAAAAACATGGTCCTGCTTCAAGAAAAATATACCAATGTGAAAAATGTGGCTATGTATTCAACAAAAAATACAACTTACAGCAACACATCCTTCTACATACTGGTAAAAGACCTCATCAGTGTCCTCATTGCCCGTCAGCTTTTCGGAATCCGAGCAATTTAAAATCTCATATCAAGAGTATCCACACCAATGAGCGACCTCATAAATGTCCTTACTGTCCACGTGCTTTTGTAATTTCTAATAATTTAAAAAGTCATATAGCGAGTATTCATTCTAAAAAACGTCCTTTTAAATGCAACGACTGCAATGCCAAGTTTAGTCGATCACGTCAATTGAAAGATCACAAATTCAAGTGTCATCAGATTCGAACTTCTGACAATAAAAAATTAAAGTGCCTTTATTGCCATCTCGGATTTACTGAACAGTATTACCTGACTGCCCATCTGAATACTCACAGGCACGGAAAAGATTGGAAGTGTAATCAATGCTCTTACATGACAAATTATTCGAGCTCATTGAAAAAACACATAAGTGAACACTTTAACTGATATTTTAATTTTTTTTGTTTTTGTATTATCACTCCAACGTTTTAACCTTGAACATTTTAAAATAACTCAAGTTCTTCATGATTTAATTTTTGTTTTTTTGCTTGATTTGATTTTTAGTTGAATTTTTTTTAAATATATTATAAAAAGTAAATTTCAATTGTGTATAAGGATTTGTAAATATCTATAATCTTTTATGGATTATTATATTAAATCATTTTTTTATTTAAAAATTTCAATCACATGGATTGTAATTGATGATAACGACGTTTGTATTTTTATACTTTGCATGGAATAAATTTTGTAATATAAATTTTGAATAAAACAATTGATTTGTTCTATTTATATGGACTAATATTTTGATTTATTATTTAAAAAAAAAAAAAAAAAAAAAAAAAA